GTGTTCAGTTGTGCTTTTTTTTTTTGTGTTGTTTTTTTCCTCCCCTTTCTCTCCCCCAGTTGCTTTGCATCAGGGCATGAAAGGAGTGGAAACACCAGGGGGACAAAAGGCAACAGAACAAATGATGAAACTCAGTAAGGAAATCAACTGGATTCAGAATTTATAGCTTTGAAACGTTGCATTGATCAGTGTGTGAATAGTCATTACGTGCTTTTGGACTGTGTGATTAGGAAAGCAGATCAAGGCTCTCAAGATGATGATGTTTCTTACTTTCATTTTTTTTCCTTTGCTTGTAATATATGTGTGTGTGTCTCTGTGTGTGTGTGTGAGAGAGAGAGAGAGAGAGAGAGAAGCAAAATACCAAAGTCTCTGGTTGCTTCTGCAAAGAGGAAAGTACAACCTTATCTGATACTCAGGTTTCTCATCTCTCTTCTAGATGAAATTTTAGGCAAGAGAAGAGTATGTTCTCCCAACAGCAGCAGTGAGTGTCCTTTAGAAAGCAAGAAAGCCAGAAGTGAGTCCCCAAAGGGTAAGTGCTGCTTCTCCCTCCCCCATCCCCTTCCCCTTTCTTCTCCTTTCTTACGAGTGGAACTTAATTGAAATTAAGGAGGGAGGGAAGGGAGGGCTGCGAGAGGCTGTGGTGTGGGAGCTGAAAGTATCCGGCACTGAGGGGGCATGAAGGAGGCTACCAGCGCGCTGTGCTTTCTTTATCTAATCGGAGGGAAGCTTGCAGTGCGAGAAAGAGATTGCTGCTTAATTAGAATAATTGTTTTATGATTAAAAAAGCAAGCTGCAGCTTTTGAGGTGAATCTTAAGGGTGTTTCTACTTTTCAGGCAGAATGTCTTGGTTACGTATTTAATATAAAAGATACACACAGGCTTATCATGCTGGCATCTGTTCCTTTAAAGGGAAAAAAAGAAGCCTAGCAGGGAGAATAGGGCTGCCTAGTTCTTTCTTATGCATTTATGGCACTGTTCCTATAGAGATGGAATCTGCAGAAGGCTTCTCTTTTTAGGGAATTTTTTTTTTTTTTAATCTCCTGATTTGTCTTACGGTTCTTTCCTATAAACATGATTTTTAAACTTTTTTTACGACTGGCAAAGTGGAGTGGGTAATGGAGCCTCCAGTTAATGAGTTTGTTTCGAGGTTGCATAAATGAGGTTTTGCAGGCCGTTCACTTAAAGGCTTTGTTGTTAAGTTCAAACAAATTAGCTGTCACTAATACCCATCTTGATCACTGTGCTTAACCTACACTCTTTGGCCGCTAAAAAATGTAGAGAAATAAAAGCAGACCAGCTGTCTGAAGCTGTTTCTTGGCTGTGGAGTCCAGCAGCTGAGACTCTTCAAGGTGTATCTTCTCAATAACCAGTCCAGGGAATCGCAAAGGGCACCGTTTGCAGTGGTTTGTCCTGAAGCCTTCTTGAACTACATACCTTAAATTATGCTATGTAAAGATGTATTGTGGGGACCTGTACTGCATCTTGATTTCACAGAATGTTCCTGTATATTGTCTCTTCTTGACTCCTTGTCCCCAAATTATGGTCTGAAAGACAGCATACTCTGAGAGGATGTTGAATGCTAGTGTCACTTAATATAATATTGCTAACGCTACCTAAGAACGTACTAAATCTTTCCTTTCACATAACCCTCTCTTGCCTGTTAACTCTTCAATACAAGTAAAAGCGCCTTCCTTAGCTATTTAGTGGGCTTTTCTGAAAGGTGTGGAGCCCTCTATACTGCTACTCCTTACCTGTTTTCCTTGATTTTTTTCGTCTGCCCTATTCCTGTTATCCTTGAAATGTTTCTAGTAGACGTGCAGGTAAGTTCCAGCAGGATGCTGCTACAGATTCCGAAACGCCGTTGTTACACAGGGGTGTGAGACTCCTGTAGCACACTTGGTACAGCTGCTGTCACCTTGGCTGCTTCCGCTGAGTCCGTATCCTGTGTAATCCCACCACAGTCCAAGCTTAGGAATTGAATCCAGGCAACAGCAGCCTAGGTGGCCTGGCTGAGAACGGGCTAAACTTTAATCAAGCCACCTGAAACCAAACTATTGCTTTTGGATTCACCCTAATAACGGCAGAGATTGATGGTTTTGCCACAGGATCAGCAGGGTCAACTGATCCCATTCCGTTGCTTTCCACTGGCCTTCCCACCATTTTTGTTTGCTGGAGTGGGCTGAGCGTAGCATGAGGCAGATAAGCAGCCCTTGGCTTTGCAGTATGTGCTCAGGATCTAAATCCTGCTCCTTAACTGGGAATGACTTGGGGATTCCCCCAGCTCATTAAGCGGGGGCTTCCTAGGAAGCTCTGAATAAGAGCAAACTTTCGTTTTCTACTCCCACTTTTTTCTCAGAAAGCCTTCCCTGCCCTTTAAAAGAGTGCAAGACAGAGTGGAAATTCTGAGCTGGGCCTGCTACTAATCTCCCCTGTTACCTGTTTGTGATGGTATTTGATCTCTGGGGAACCCCTGTTCCCTCCAGCAGCGTGGCAGGCATTCTAAGCCTAGGTTGTGCTGATGCTAGAGTAGCGTCGGAACAGCGAGGGGCTGAAAGGGGCAGAGGCCTCTGTGCGTGTGGGGCACTTATCTGCCCCCCCCTGCTGTGAACAGGGGGCAAAGGAGGGGCTGTAGCCAGTGTTTTGGTGCCTGAAGCCCCAGACAGCGAGAGCACCTTGCAGCTGAGAACTCCCAGGAGGCTGCTGGCAGTCAGGCAGCGTTCCGGTGGCAGGGATGCTGTGGAGGGCCGGGAGGGAAGCGATCCCTGTGTTCCCAGCTCTGTACTGGGGAGCTGGTTGGATACAGAAGGATCTATGTTATGTGAGAAGCCGTTTTCGAACCGGATGGACCCTCGTGGCTAGATACCTGGGATTTGGGAACTCCCGCTGCGGAGTTGTGCTGTGGAGACGGTGCTGGAGCCCCGGGCTGGGCTGGGACCCGGGCGCTGCGAGTGCGGTTTGTGATTTAGGAGTGGGAAGGGAAGCAAGGACCCACTGGAGCTCTGCAGCCCGTGCAGCCCTCCGGTAGGAGCCAGGTCTGCAGCGTCTTCCTTTTGCTCCGTCCTGGTGGTGTGCCCTGCGTGGGTGCCGGTCCTCCCTCTCCCGTGGTGGAGTGCAGCCCGAGGTGGGGACGCTCCCGCTCGCCGTCGCGCGCTGGCCCTGGCCGCGGCTCTTGCTCCGGGCGCAGCTGCGTTGTCTCCGAAAGAACCTTTTGAAGAGGAGAAGTGACCCCGTGCCCGCGGCACATCTCGTGCTGCTGTGGCTGCGCCTGACAAGGCGAGGAGAACAGAGGCAGCCAAGTAAATCACTTCTCCTCTCTGACTGAGTGAAAAAACACCTGTAGGGCTGGAAACCCTTCCAGCAGGGAAGCGGTAGCCTTCCCTTCCCCCTCCCAGTGCTCGCAGTGTGCGCACCAGAGATCAAAAGAGAGCCCTATCTCGCTGGAAACAGGGCCGCGCCAGCACTGCTGTCAAACAGAGCAGAACGTTCTCGCGTCTAATATGGAAATGCGAGCATATCAGAGGCTCCGAGCGAGGGCTGTGCTGGCAGGTCACGGAGGAAGCTTTCTCCCCGGGAGACAGATCCCCAAGTAAAACCCTCACTCTTGCGGCAGCAACGTGTCTGGAGATCTGCTTCTCCGACACCTTGAGATGCAAAAGAAAACCCAACGATTGCAAGAAGAGAAAATCAGTAAGAGTATTTTGGTTCCTATTAGAACTGCTGAAAAATAAATCTGGTGGAAGGCTCATCAGCTGGGCAGATTTGAAACCAGGCTGGCCCAAGTGCTGGAAGGCGCAGGCGGGGAACAGTGTTGCGCTTGCCCCCTGGGGTGGGCTGATGAGCTCATATGCTGCTCCTTCTGCCATTCTCTTTTCTCTGCTGTTGTGGATCGTTTAAAACAAAACAAAATCTTATTGCATCTTCAGTTAATGAAGTAGACCAGAACCAGAGCTGGACTACAGCTGAGCAATTCAGATCCAGCCTCTGTCAGTTTGTTCCTCTGCTTGGAGGCAGGGAGAGCCTTACGCTGGCTGCTTTGGCAGCTGTCCGCTTAGGCCAAACGAAGAAAACAGTGCTTGGCCCCATTCTTGCTAACAACTTCACTGCCCCCCAAACCTGCACTGCTGAATACGGAGGGAGTGGGCACGGGCCCTCTCTGCCCCTGCAGCAAAGACCCTAAAGCTGCTGGCCAATACCTGGCTTTGAACTTCGAGCGAGGTGCTTTTGCAGCAGGCTCCTCGAGCTTCTGCTGTGCTTGGGTAAGGGGAGCCCGGCGTGTTGTGGGCTTGTTGTAACGAAGGAGAGGAGACGGACAGGCTGGGTGCTCCTCTCTTCTGTGGGATCGCTTGGGGAGGATGAGCTTTGTGAAAGCTTTATGAAACCTTGGTGAAAAGGTTGTGCAGCGGCGACAAGTCCTCCAGGCTGAGCAGGAACCCTGCGTCCTCCGAGAGCGTGAATTCACTGTGGGTGCTGCCGTCGGGACCCTGCGGTGAGGATGGGAGGGGGGGGCGGGCAGGGAGCTGTGCTGGAGAGCATGGAGGGCCAGAAGATGCCTGCCTCACTGTGCCTTCCTGGTGACCGTGCCAGAGTCCATTTCACACCTGGCAGCTGGAGGAGATTTGGCGGGATCAGTCTCCCGCATTACCCCCGGTAATGACAAAAGCAGACAGCAAAGCTGCAGCAGAGCTGGAATTATCACTGGCTGAGTCATGTGAAATCTTCCAAGTTTTAAGTGTGGAAATCCAGCCTTTCCCTGGACTTCTCCTTCCTCTTAGCCTCCCCTCGCCACCCCCATGCTCCCCCCCTCCTTGCACCTGAAATCTGCTCTGCGGCTGATCGGATAGAGTTTATGGTAATTAAGTGTTATTAAATCCCCTCCCCCCTCCTTTTTTTCCCTAATGACACAGCTGTGGGGGAAAAAAAAAAAAATAGGTTTTTTTCTAAATCGGGTCTGTGGCATGCGGCTTTGCTCCTTAGACCTTTGGTTAAGAGCATCAGAAGGGAACTGAAACAGTTTGATGCACTTCTGCGTTCGGGGGAGGTGGCAGGAGCAGCAAGACAGCGGAGGGGGATGTGGGAACCTGGCCCGCAGAGTGACCTGGTGGGACGGGGACATGGGAAGGGTTTCTGCCCCCCACTGCCCTGCTCCTGCCCCTGGTGCCTTGCAGGCTGGGGTACCAGAGGCGGGGAGTGGGAGGGAGCAGGCGCGGCGTGGCTGTCGTCTTGTGCAGCCTCCTCCTTTCGGGTCTGGTTTCGAAGCGTGATGCCCGCAGGGCAGGGTGGGGACCCAGCTCCTGGTACTGGCTGGCTCGAAGCGGGCCCTAAACCTGTGATTTCCACAGGAAGCCTGTGGTCCCCGAGGCGCGGAGACTTGTCGCTGGGGTAGAGACCCGTGGTTGCACATACGGCCACAAATTGCTGTGCTCATGGAGAATCCTTGCTGAGCTGGACGGCTGACCTGAGTTGGAGGAGGCTGAAGTCATTCCCCTTTTGCAGAGAAAGAGTCATTTTTTTATTGAAACTGTGTGCAGCTCAGATCTTTTATTATTTTTATTAGTAGCCCCTGCTATGTTGTGGAGAGGAGGTGGTTTCAGTATGACACTTGAAGGTTGCGTCCCTAAAATCTGAGCCCCTGTGTGCTTGGTTGCGTGATGAGCTTGGTGGCAGCACTTGCCGCTAACGGCCCCTCATTCTGGCCAAGGCAGAAGTGGACCAGTCCCTAAGCTGCTGTGGCAGGGCCACGTTGGACAGGTGCTCTGTCTCTTGGACTGCGTTTGTTGGCCACAGGCTGTCTTTGCTGATAGCTAAGCTGAGGGTCATTGCTCTCGCCTGAGAGAGATCCACAGCCCGTTTCCCAGCAAGGTGTCCAGTGCCTGCATATTTGTCCCAGTGCTGACACTGGTGTAAAGTGGCCTGTGCTCAAAGCCACCACCTTGACTTTGGAGCCAGCCTGGCAGCCGAGTCGTACGCCGTGAGCCCTGAGGGACTCAGTCTGCAAAACGAGGTGGATGGAGGAGCACGACTCTGGACCACACGGTAGGGTGGTCTTGTCATTCCCTGAACGCGGCGGTGGTCTGTGACTGCGGCGTGGGGGGAGGCCTGCCCCCTCCCTCCCTTCCCCTCTGCCTGGTGAGGTTGTACGGGGAGTTCCTCTCTGAGTAATGAAAAGGTTTTGCCTGTGGGAAAGATCCAAGATAAAACAGTGTTAGAGCAGCCACCGCCAAGGCAGAGAACGGTAATTACTCTGGAGTTCTGCTTACAGTAAACACAAAGCCTCTGTGGTTTTATCTACCTGATAGTCAGACCCGGGTCCCTGCTGCCCAGGGAGCAGGCAGCGCCTTCTCCAGAGCACCTCCCTCCTGGGCTGTGCAGTCATTCCAGGAAGATGGAGAGGTAGGCGTGTTGGGTGGGATTGGAATGGCCTCAGGGTGCTTGTACAGATTGGAAACAACCCGCTTTGTGACTTCCCTCCAAGAGCTGGGCAGGGGGACTGCCATCACTGGCTGCTGCGTGGTTGTCGGCGTCACCCATGCTGGGCGCTTGGACATCTCTGGGGTGCTTGTGTCCTTGCGGGTGTTCCGAAAGGTGGGGGAGAGAGGTGCGTGTCTGAGCAGGTATCAGGTGAAAAAACGAACGCGCGTCCCCTGAGATGAAAGGGTGAGAACTCAGGGAGCGTTTTCATCCCGCCTGTCCTCTTTGCCACCTCAGGGGTAGAGAGCTTTGGTGGTTATCTGGTGTTGTTATAATGCTGGGCGGAGGGGGGAAGTTGTTAATGAGTTTTTTGGGTGCCGTGGCGATTGAAGCTGTAGACTGTTCTGTACCTAGCGTGCCTGTGTTTGGAGGTTTAGCGGGTGGTAGGTGTGTCTTGGCGGCGTACAGTGGTCCATCTCGGAGCACGAGGACAGCTGTGTTTGGCAGCTTGGTACTTC